AAGCCTAGCAAGCCAGAGAAAGAGCAGCATGAACTCCTGAGGATGAAGATTGCTCCAGAATGCATACGTACAAGGAACAGGAAGGGAAGAAAGAATTAGTTTTATATTCATATATTAAAAATCAACATGGCATAAAGTCTTAGTATTTCCATTGCAATTTCATGATGTGTAGACCTCTCCGGATGCGTTTCTAAAGCAGAGAAAAGTACTGCAGTGGACTTTTATCCCCATTTTTCAGTTCAGCCACTGGAGGGCAACGTGATCCCAGACACCAGGCAGAGGCAGCCCTGCAGTTCGCAGGCGTAGGGAGCGTCACCCAGCAAACACTGCCGAAGTGCAGAGGAATTTCTGCACGAGTCTGGCAGAAATTAGGCAATAACAGTAGCAAAAAGCATATGCTCTTACGTTTTACCTTTTGAGGAGGTAGATTTAAAAATTTCTTCCTACTTCTAAAATCTATGTTTCTGTTTAGGATTGCTTCACGAGTTCTAAATCCGTGGATTAGCCAAAGGATTTCTGCAGGCAGTGAGTGATGCAAGGGCCACTCAGTCCGGTATCACAAAAGGCGAAATATTTCCCACTGCTAAGTAACTGAAAAGCTCAGACATGTGTCTGCACTGGAAACAATTCTGGCAGACTTTTCTGGATTAGTTGTTAAATCTGTTACAACGAATTATTTGTTTATTACATTTTATAGGACTATTTGCCGTGTAGGGTCTGACTTTCTTTCAAACAAATAGAAATAGTTAGGCTCAACTGAGCTCCAGAGCAGATGGGTTCCCGGAGAAGACCAGAGAGGGATCATGTCAGGTATATTCGCTTTGGGAAAAGCAACAGCCCAGCAAAAGAGTATCAAATATTGTTTGGAGAAAAAGGTAAAGACAGTATTTTATTAAGAGGCAGTAAGTACCAGGTGCTTGTTGCTGTTTCAGATGGGGTTGTTGCAGAAGCAGAATCCCATCCATCTTGTTCTCCACGTGCCCTTTGTTTCGCAGTCCTTATCACAGCGCTGCCCGTGCGCTGTCTTTGCTGGCAGCCATGAGCAATCCAGCTGTGTTTGCAGGGGCTCTGGAAAGCGTTTTCATGCAGCGGATTGTTCAGGACAAGCTCGCTGGGATTTGCTTAGCAGATGCACAAGGATAAGCCTTTAGTATCCTCCCCTTTTGTTTCATCCTGTCCTCACCAGCATCGTGCATATTTGCATGCATACAAGCACACGTGCTGGCTAATAATCTAATTTAATCCTCACAGCACAGGATTTTGTTCCTTATCCATTCAGCTGTGGGAAGGGATGAGGAGCCTTCAGCTGCCAAACAGGGCTCTTTCTGAGCTGAGAGGATCCCATTTTAAATTTCTATGTGTTTGCCTGCACCTGGAAGCAGATTGAAATCAGACTGAAAGGATGAAATTTCGGATCTTTTGAAAAATATTTGCTTTAATTGCACTTTCGAAATGGAGCATTTCAGGACTGAGGAGGGGACGTCACATTTTAATCTTTTAATTCTTGTGAGTTTCTAGTTTGTACAGCTTTGGGGGAATAAAGCAGCAATGTGAAGGAGGGAGCTTATATTTGAAAGAAAGAAACCAAACCTAATCCTATTTGTGTAAATTGATGCTAACCCATTACACTAACAGCTGTGTGACAGTGTCAGATGTAGAGGCAGAGGAAGAATAATTTCAAATTTTCCCTGTCAATTATTTTATGCAGAAATTCCTTGGGAGTCATCAAGATGACAATGATTTCTGCAAGTTTTTTGTTCTAGACATTCAAGACAGACGTTAATTTTTTTATAGCTTTCTATTGAAATAAGTGGCAAATTTAGCCATCAAAACAGACTTGGTTTTAGGGTAGAACTGGAGCCTCAGAGCAATCCTGCTGTAATCATGGGGCTGGCTGAAGTCACCACCATGACATGAAACTTTTGCCTTGGAGCCTGTTTCGATATTAGTCCATCACTCCAGCAGTGTTTAATCGCATTAGAGAGAAGCCAGTGCTATAATCACTGTGAGTCACTGAAGGCAGCTCTACCAACACATATTTGGAGAGAACTGAGATACCATTTAGCAATGACACTACGTGTGCCTTGGGATTATACTGCTCATTATATTAAATATTTCACTTTTTCTTTACTACATGCAAGATACTATGAATTATTTTTGCTCCTTTCTTAGGTCACAGAGGACCTCATTTGAATAAATTAATGAAGGTTAAAATTGCTTGTGTTTATTAATTCTGCATGCCATTTTTACATGGATAAAATGTTAAGGAAAATCTCTGTTATCATGGAAGGATATTCTAGTAATTGCCTGTAATTATAAGGGCATCTCGCTACAAATACATTTAAGTACATCATTAGAAACTGACACTTCCATACTTCAGGAAAAGAATGTATTTTAGAAAGACTGAATAAAAGGCACACTCTCCTCAGGCTGACTACCCCAGGAGCTGTTGGATTCATGCCCAGCACTGACTATAAAAGCCATTCAGTTTATTTATGATATTTGGGGCATTCAGATCACAACTGCAGGTTATTCAGATAATCAGGCTAGAATAAATTAAGCTATATTTGTGTTATATCCTAATGAGCCAGTTTGCTGGTATTTTGTAGTAAAAATAATTGATTCTCTTACCTTATCACTGTAGGAGCAGGAAGAATTTGGAATATATATGAAGATAGTCAAAGGCACCTTGAAACTTTTTGGTCATAATATACATTACTACTGGAGGAACTTGTAATAAACCATGCTCTGGGGGAACGTGTTGACTGGGAGGTGGGAGATTTATCCTATTTGCAGGCAGACCATGCTATCGAAATCAGTAGTTAACCTTTTTTATCTCGTGAAGCTAGGTTTCAACCTGGAAGAAATGGCTGGGAAAAGGAGCCCTAAGACTAGGAGATCACATCTAAGATTTGTATCTTAAGAGGCTCCAGGTCAAATTCATCCATAGCATATATAATTTCAATGATACAAACCACAATGGATTTTTAGCTGCTGGACTGTGGGAGTAAGGTTTTGTTTTAGCACACTAAAAGCAAGGACATTTTTTTAACACAGGGCAAAATACATTGTTGGCCGGACTCAGGCATTCTCTGTATTTTAATGCATTCTGACAGACTTCAGCTACCGTGTAATGACATGAAATTAGGAGAACTGAAAGTTAATGGAACTGGGTGACCAGGGGAGATACATGAGAGATCCTCAAGCCTTGTTTCTCTGGACTGCTTGTTTGCATGCAATCACACTTCACCTGTTATGTGGAAGGATGCTTAGGGGGCTTTTTGAACCCCCTGGTAATTTACTTGGACCTAACATACAACCACAAGCCCTCCCTCATCATTAAATGGCTGCCTGTTGGAAGAGAAATCATGCTTTAGTAGTTAAGACAAACAAACAAAATGTCTATTTTAATTCACCAAATTAATGGAAAAGTTTTGTTTCCAAGTGGATTAACCTCCTGAATTGGATTCAATGATTCAACCTTTCTTCTTTTTTTTTTTTTTCCTGAGTTCCCTTTTCCATTCAGGGAATAAATGTGCATGGACTAATCTAAGGATGAAAACACATTAATACAAGTGCCTCCACATTGCCAAGTGCTTGGAAAGAAGCAAGGAGGGCACTGATCCCATAGGTAATTCACTGCCTGGGACAAAAAGGGGTTGCATAAATGTTGAGCCAAATTGTGTCCATCACAGGGCAGAACTGTGGGCTGTGCATCCTTATCTTCTCTCTGTAATTCTAGTGTAATTGCATGCTTCAGTGTGCAAGAGCACATTGGAGTAGCTTTTCATAGCTAGTGGTTGCAGCTTCTAAAAGGCACCTGTGGGGGATGGTTACAAGGATCCATGGTGCAACTCTGCTGATAATCTTAGCAAGGAATTGCAGGATCCTGCAATTAGGATTCAAAGCACTGGCCGGAAGGACTAGAAGGGTGAATTTGAGGGACTTACTAGCAGGCAGAATTAGCACCTTCTCTCCTCCTGGTGAGATGCATGGGGCAGTCACACATTTGCCTGATGCAAAGATCTTCAGTTGAAGTCTCACTGATAACCATTATCTTATAAAATTATTACCTCCACCTCAGAAGTAAGAACTGCAAAGGCTAGTGAGCTAATTCTCTGGGCCCACTGCCTCCATCTCACCCTGTCACACCAGGAAGCTGGATGCCCTTCATTAGGTTCTTCACTGGAGGTAGGAAATCCTTAACATATATCTGCCACATAAGGAATTCTGTTCCCTTGGCCGTGTTTGCAGCAGGCATCAAACCAAAAGCACCTTTCTGCTATTTCCAGTTGTTATACTTCCAGTTTGAGGGAATCACCTGCAGGTAGCTTTTTGGCTCAAAGAGCTGTTTTACTGAAGCTATGCTAGTCCACAGCTAGGAATTTCATGTGGGTTTTCTGAAGATCCATCTCTCCTTCTCAGAAGAAAGAAGATTTCGAATAAGTGTCTTCCCTGTGCCAGCAAGAGGTTAGGGCTGTAATAAGACTATGTGGGAGAGATGTGGTTGTTTAATATTTACACACCTTGAAGAACTGTACTGGTGGATTCTCCTTTGACTTATCAGAGACTTGCCTGAAGTACCCAGGGGTTGTAAGAAATCTTGCCAGCACAGCTGTAAAAAGCAGCTCCAAGTCACAGACACACAAATCATGTTTGTAGAGTTAAAAGTACTTCCTGTTTTGGTATGGAAGTCTGTCCCTCCCTATAGATCCTTATGGCTAAAGCTAAACAAATACCCAATTAACAAAATTAAATCAAAAGTTTTCATATGTGAGCTATGAAGTAAAAACAAAGAGCTCAGGCCCCAGAGATATATGACAATTCTGGATAGGCACCGTTTAACAAAGGGTAGGACTTAGACCCATTTCAGACACACTTTAAAGTGGATATTCAAATACAATGAATTCTAATCCATTATCAGCACAGAATGACTGTGTCTGTCCCACAGCACTGATTTTAACACAAAGTCAAACAGAAGCATGAAAGCAACACTCCTGTAAAGCCACAGATATCTTTATTCTCCACCCAGGCCAGCAAGGATGGGAAAAGGGAATGCAATTAAAATGAACAATCAGCAAACAGTATCTTTACTTAAAAAAAACATCCAGACTAGAGCAGCCAGAAACACACTCAACAATCAGAATAACTGGAATTCCTTGCAGTCTGACAGTGGCATATAAGCAGAAATTACTTGTCAGTTTCTGAAAATGGGGTAGAACAAGACAAAAACTTGTGCTTTTTTCTATTACAACAATTGATAATTATTATATATTTTGCAACAAGCAAACTGCTACAGAGGATAGTGGGCAAGAGAGAAAGCTATCCAGTTGTTCAGAGAAAAGTCTGAATTAAACTTTTACAAATAGCACCAGAACTAACCCCAAGCACCAGAACTAACTCCAAGCTTAAAATAGCCCCCACCAAAATCAATGACAGAATGCCTTGAATTTAGCAGGAGCCAATGCAAGCTTAGGTAAGTGTAAAGAATAGAAAACACATGATGGATTTTCCCAGGATGTCGCCCAAAATGTGACCTCCAAACCCAGAAGCACAGCTGCCACTGCAGAAGGAGGGTACTATGACTCCTCTGACGCTTCTTTGTGTCTACTTAGCAGTGAGAGGTACAGATTTGGTTTTGTCTCCACTCCAGCGGGCTGTTAACAATCCTGAAAGCAAATCCTGCAGCTCAGCAGACATTTCACATGGATGTATTCTGTAATGAGCTCATATTTATTATTCAAGCCCTCTGTAAGCTGAAGGCTCTTTGTGCTACTGACCCCAGCCTTTCGTCTAGCCTTGAACAGCTGCTGTTTGGCAGTGACAGCTGAATTGGGTTTTCTCCCTCTGCAGCAATGCACACTTGCCAGCCATCCTTTCCCCAAACTTGTCTGCTGCATGTTGGGGCCAAGATACACAATTCACCCCTTTCATGCCAGCAGTATCCCTTTAGGCAAAGCATGAGAACACTTGCCAGTGGACCTTCCTTTTCCTTAATGCTTGTTAAGCATCACTTATTCCAATGCTCCAGCCATGTGGGAGCCTGCAATTTCCATGTGGAGCAGTATTAAGCAGAGTGGCTGCACTGGGTCACTACAGACTGCCAGCACTGGCATGGCTTATCCTCAGCACCTTCATTAATTCAGAGGCATATCAGCCTGCCTGATTGGAGCAGGCCTGTGAAAGGCATTCCACTGCTTGAACTAGTCCCAGGCATATGTCAGCTTCCTTTGAATCATACTAAACTATCTGGCATTGTCTCACAGATTGGGGTCTATTTTTTTTTCTTTCCTGGAAGTTGGTAATTGTTTTGAAAGATTCCAACAGTAAAAAATTATAGTAGGAAACAACAAACACAGCCTGGTTCTACCTGAGCCCAGGGAGCACCACTGCTTTCTCAGTTAAGTGTGGGGCAAAGACTGCTCTTGATATTTGGCTTGTGCATTATTCACTGTTAAGCCTTCAGCCAATGCTAAGAGGCTCCTTTGACCTCCCAGGGACCAAGGATGCAGCAGGAACTACTTATTTCTCAGTGTCAGGACTAGAGGATCAGATGGACTTGTTTATATATCACCAGTTCCCAGATGTTCTAACCAGGACAGTCAGTGTAGTCTTGAGCTCAACCTTAAAATGCAACACAAAGCATTAGTTTCTGTGAAATCCAGCTTCTGAATTCTTCTTTTTACCATCCTAAATAGGGAGACTGGGGAAGTGAGACAGCTACAGAGACAGGAGTGACTGCAGCTGACAGACTGCATGCCACAACTTACCTACCTACATGCATGCAAATGGTGGGCTCCTCTGGCCTGGGGCTCACAGACTTTCCAGAAGTACCAACTGAACTGGAGCACTGAGAAAATTAACCATGTTTCAGATGTGTTACTCAGCCCCCATTAGGATTTGCTATACCTCTCTTTTATTTTGCTATCTCCTTCTTAGGCCAAAACCCCAATAGCTGATCAAGAAAAAAGAACTTTTCTGCTAGTCATTTTTTAAGGAGACAATTAAAATTTCTCCAGCCTATGGTGGCCACACCTTGGTCAGGGAACCCAGTATGATGCCATGAAAAACCCAGAAAGGAGGGACACCCATTATGAAAATGAGACATGAGGGGAGGAGGATGTATGATCCATTGCTCTTCCATATAATTAACCAGGAAGAGGGATGACGTGGGGAAGGCGACACAGATTTCCAGAGCTGAGGCACAGATAGACATGAACTCCTGGACTCCCCTATCCTGAAAGAGGAGGTCCAACAACACTTCTATAAGAGAAACCTGAAAACCAGAATAACTTATTTCAGTCCTTCATATCCCAAGCACCTTCAACTCCAGCTCCCTAAATCCAGGTGCTGCAAGTCCACACCTGCATTGCAGTGAGATGTAAATGGATTGCCCCTTCCTTAGGGGCAGGCACCTCCTTAGTGAAGGTGTTTCCTCCCTATATTGCAACTGTTTGCACTGTGTATGACTCCTGTAGATCCTTCCTCCCTTGCAGTGCACATATCAAGAGATCCACTGCAGTTGTGTTCCAAGCTATCTGAGCACCTGCAGCCACTTCAGGGTTCTTGGTGACAGCCCCATCAGGCCCTCCCACACAGCATTACAAAGCAAGCCCTGCTCCTCCATTGTGTGATGGGGCTGTTTCGGGTCAGCGTAGAACTCACTTGCCTTTGTTGGCAGCTATGCTGTCCTTTCCCACTATTCCAGTGGTCTGTGACACTGGACTGACAGTGTCTAAGCAGTCAGCCTGTATAAGTTAGCTGCTTTTGTTGGAAGGACTGAGAAAGAACCCTTTCTAAGTAAACTGCAGAACATAACCCATTTTGCAATTTAGCCTTCACCTCTGAATGGGTTCCTGTCTCTTGAAGTTCATCCCCTGAGCAGAGACTTTTCACTGTGTCATAGGACACTACTGTGTCCTATTGCTGAAAAGTAAAGTCTACCTTGACAGAAGTAAACTTTACATAATATATCTCTGCTACTCCACAGCCAGCCAGAGCCCTGCAGACCTGGATTTTCTTACAATTCCCAGAAGCTGTAATTAGCTACAACACATGACAAATCCTTGGAAAGCCATGCACCTCCCCACCCAGAGCATGTGAAGCCAGCATTCTTGCCTTCTGTGACATTGAAAGAGGACTCTCAGCCCAATATTTTATTAATGTTGTGTTTAAATATATATGTATATTAAAAAAACCCCAGTGTGTTATTTTCTAGGTGAGAACACTCGCATATTACCAAAATAGTCATCCAGGACAAAGGCTCAGACTGCTGAGGTCTCAACCCCCTGTGCAGAGCTCTTGCCAGAGAGACTACCTGAGATATTGTCAGAATCAAGCAGCTCGACAATGCTGTATGGAGAACAATCTTCCAAGCCCAGCTTGCTGCAGAGCCAGCCACAGAATCCTTTCTCCATATCCCTGACAGCACGCCACCAGTACCCAAAGGACCATGCTACCTGGGCTACAGCTGAATACAGGCCTAGGGAGAAAGAAACAACCATAATTATAATTGGGTAGAAGATAATCAAAAAAGGACAAAAGGTGATTTTGTGCCAGAAGGTCCTCTCTTCATTGTACACCAAGAAGATGTTGTACCATGTAATGGTTCCATAGTAGAATGAAACCACAAAAGACACTATAAAAATGATGGGGAGGCAGATGATGGTCCAGAGGACGATGTGGGGGCCTCTGTCTAACCCAACATCACATTTCTTCTTCTTCTCAGGTACATCTTCTTTAGGAGGTTCCTTTGACTTAGCCAGTTCCTGCAGCTCTTTATCTGTTAGTGTGACGTGGATGTCCACCATCTGGCCCTTCTTCTTTCCCCTGGTGATTGTTCCAGTCAAAGTGACATATCGGCTGTCTAAAGGCATGTTCCAGACACCTACAACACAGATAAACTCATCTACATCAGATTTATCTTCTGTACAAAGTATTTTGTGTAAGCCCTCAAAGACCCCAAAGACAATTAGATAGTGCATATGGAGTTACAGTTAAAATCAAATTTTAAAAGATGGAAGGCAAGAAGCAATGCAATAGGAAAAAAATTACCACAGAAGAAAATGGAAGAAGAGCTAATGAGGAAAAATACAGGAATTCCAAAATCACAAGGGAAAAAACACCAGTATCTCCACTAGGGATAATACATTAATGGAAAATGCTGCAAGAGTCTAGGAGAATGAGATGAGACAGAGTAACTCAATTGAAAATGGTATGCCTGTTTTCTCTGTTTACTTCATGGATTTATTCCTGAACAGCATGGACACTTGGGATTAATTAGATAAATACCACTGAGACTCTTGTTTTGGAATAAGCATATCCACACATGGAATTATACCTGAGTAGCTAATATTTCACTTTACATTTGCATTGTATCTCAATCCAAAATAATTTTTGAAGTTTAGAAAAACTTTAAAAACTGTCATAAAATTACATTTGCATTTTAAGAAATCAGTAGAGGCACCAAACTGGACAGTGCTGGTATATGTGTTAGTGTTACAAAGGGAATGCATTAACTTTCAAGTGACACACATTGGTCACATAGGATTGGCCATGCAATGGTACTGGCCATAAACTACTCTTTGGGGCTACAGTATATTTCCTCCTGGTCTTAATTCTGACTAGCTTGGAAGAAGGTCTTCAGAAACTCTCAAAGAGAGGCTGAGCAGCTTGAAGTGCTCCACAGAAGTAGGAAAGCAGCAGGTAACTAATGAGGATAGGGTCTGGGATCATGGGGGAATCTGGTGTATCTGGAGCATTTAAGGCCTCTCAGCCTGCACTGCTGACTCACAGCCACAGGACCTGCCTTCCACACTTCTTCTCTGCAAGGATACCCAGGACAGATAGCAAAAGTGAAAGTGACTCAAAGATGCCCCATGATGACCTTGCCAAATAATCACCCTTCAAGAGGAAGCCATGCTGAGTGTATGCAAACAGAAGGCAGGAGTAAATCCTAGATAATGAGTTAAGTTTCCTATCGAAGGTAGAGCCACTAACTCCATCTACTTTCATCCTTTCACTTAACAGGCAGCTGTTCAGGCGTGGACAGTGGCTTGATCACAGCTTAGAATGACATCACTGGCTTATTGCATGCATAGCACTGCAACCAGCACATCAACCCCAAACAGCACATACATTTAAAATTAAGACTGTAGCAACAACCAAACTTTGCAAAGAACTGCAGGAGACATCCCAAATCAGCCTGTAATGCTTTCTGTTTCAGAGCATTTTCATGTATGAACTCAAGTTCTCCTTCCCTGCAGTCTTGGAGAGGGTTGGTCCCACAGTCACTTCCATTTGACCTTAGACCATGATGGCATCAAAAAAGCTTATGTGAAGTGAGTGTTCTCAGGACTACATACCATCTGTCATAGACTGACCCAGGAACTTGGAGCCTTCCTCAGAGCTCCTCTCCCCTCCTTCTTCATCCACCTGTTCTTCTTCCACCTTATTGTCATTCTCGGACCGATACACTATTATTGACTCGGGACGGGATTCTTTCTTCTTCTTTTTCCTCCGGTCCATAGTGGCTTCCCCATCAAAGGTGACAGTGGTTGCCACAGCCCTTCTCATTGTGCCACAGCGAGGGCTCTGGCCTCCAGACTTGCTGTCTTTCTGCACAGTCTCCTCCATCCCGCTGCTGCTCTCAGTCACCTCACCTGGCATCTTGTAGCACCTGTTTCCAATCCAACAGCACCAATCCTGTGCTTAGAAGTCATTGATTAACAATGGTCCCATGGATGCTTTGTTCTGGTAAGATGTCCCACTGCTGGTATCCAAAGTATGCACTCCATTCCCAGCCTAAAATGAGAGAGAAAGCTGAAAAAGTGTCTTGGTCTTTGCAAGCAGAAAAGATTGGCAGAATTTTCCTAAAAAGGGTTACTTCTAACTGGTTTAAATGTCATCTGAAGATCTCTTTTACTGTCCTGAACATCAGTTCTCTTACATGGATACATGTTTTGTGGTATCTAATCTATCTTGATTCTTAGGGACCGCTTTTCACTATAACAAACCAAAGCTACTGGAAAGAGTATTAACATTTATAAGAAGAAGAAACATAACCAGTTTACTGGGTGAATTTAACATTCCTCTGCAAACAAACAGAAGACAGTAGTTTTGGCCCAAATGCATCAGAATAAAGGATTGAAACCAAAGCTAAAAAAGAAGTTGACCAATTTAAGGGACTGGCCTAGAGACAACTGCAACAGGAGCACTGTGCTTGTCCAGCATTACAAAGCTATATTGGTGCCAGCCTTTCTCATTTTGATCGTCTAAGGATTTACTCCCCTTTGCAAGGATATTATAAAAATTAATCAAATTCTGTCAAAATGAGTGATCTTTCAAACTTTAACAATTTAGCAATATGGAGTGCTGCCATACTTTAAAAATACAGAATATACAGTGGATTTAAAGCAAAATTATTATTAAGATGACTTTGCTGGAGAGGGTATTTGGAACCACAGCAAATTCTTCTGATTGCACAGAGAAAACTATACAAGTCTTCACTTTTTTTTTAACAAGAATAAATTTTTGCTCCTTATTCAAGCAAAGTAAACAGCAGTATCATGTGAAACTGTCATCCATGGGAAAGCTGCCACATAATTAAACATGCATCGAGGCAGACAAATCCTGCTTCATGAATATGGAAAAAGGATTAATGATTCTCAGATTTCATAACATTTAAGGAAACTGACTATGCCAAGTATTCATGAACCACTTAGGTACATATCTGAATACAATACATTTTAACAATTCTGAAGAGCTCTGTTGAACATTTACATGAACGTTTGTATTTAAAAGAATGGATCTGACCAATAATTAAGCTTCTACCTAGTAACTGAATCCTTCATTTAACAGGAAACTAAGAAACACAGGTGTCATAGTTTATAGCCTACATATTCATGTGGAAATAATTTTACTTGAATGAATGACAGAAAAAAGTTGAGCATTTTAAAATCTGGCAGTTTGGTCCTGGTCTTCCCACAGATGTAAGATTTTTCTGGTCTGTTTTGAAATTTTGTGCAGAACTTTAGATCAACTATTTATGCCTCATAAGCTCACACTTACACACACCACACCCACACAAAACTTGTAATTGTATCATTTTAACGCCTAATGTGCCCATTTGGCTCTATGAAGCCGTGAAGAATTCAACAATTCGGGGTTTTTTTTGTGCATTAGAGAAAAGAAATCTTCCTTGCTGATCAGAAGACACATAAAATGGACTTTAAAACCCCTCAAGATTCAGCATACCCCAGAAGCCAGGCTACTTCTAAATCACTGGGCAGACAATATTTTTAGCTCTGCAGCATGGCTGGAAAGAGTCTGTTTAGACTGCCTTCACACCTGCCATAAAATATTTATGCCTAAATTAGCAGACATACTGGAAAATACAAATTCACATAAGCTTTTGTTTGTTGGGTTTTTTTAAAAATACCTGTAGGGGTAAATTGAATGAATTTATGCTAGAGAATAAACTCACTCTTTGTTGTAATTTCATTCAGGAAGTACAATAGGCTCTAACATTTTTCTCTGAAAATCAGTTGTAAAACTTCATGTTTTGCATCTATAAAACCCTGAAATCACCTGACTGAGCCTAATGAGCCCTTGAGACAACAGTGAGATTCTGCTTCCAAAAGTGAAGAAAACAGGCCTGGAAACAGAGAAACCAAAATAATCACTTCTAGAATAATCTACTAAAAGTCTGGAGACACAGAAGTTGCTTAGATTCCCAAAGTTCCTGGCTGTAGTTCCATGTTCAGTCCCTACTGACTTGAGAAGGAGATGACTTACAAATAACATTTAAAAATAACACAAAGCTACAGGCAAATATTTGTAGTTGGGCTTTTTTGTTTTCTTAAAGTTGATCCAGATATGGCCTTGCTTAAACTCATGGTGTTTGAGTGTTTGACATAAGCTAATGTCAGTTCTCAGTGTGATGCCAAAGCCCAAAGGACTATGTCAGTCTTGACTGTGCAAGGAGTAAGGTGATGTCCCTTTTGAATCTCTCACAGATAGGCACTGGCAATCTGTGTCCTGTTCCTGTGCTCACCATGCAGGCAGAATGCTGATTAATGACCAGAAGATGCCTGTGATCCCCAAGTTATTTTGCTATGTCTGATGTTCCCAACTCACTATAGCAGCTAACTATAGCTGCTGGTAACTGGCAACTCTGTGAGGTACCACCACGACTGGAAACACCTCCACAGCAGGGTAATGTGAGAGTGGCAGCTCAGCTTCTCCTCTTGCTGATAAAAGGAGAGGGAATGGGCAATGGGGGACAAGCCCCTAAGAAGCACTGTTGCTGTGGCTGAGTCAAAGCCCTTGGGATAAGCAAGTGAAGGAGCCCACATTATTCTGTTTAAGGCACAAGAAGGTAAAATCTGATGTCAGTCTGTCTACATCAAAACCAAAAGCACGTAGGAGATCCTTGTGACCCAGCAGAGGAGGATGCACTGAGATAAAAAGCTGAAAGATGCAAATACAGGGCAGATGTTAGGTAGGTGTGTTAACAACGTGGGTAGGTGTCCCTTTATCAGTGGGTGATAAACTGTCATGGGAAACTTCCAAATCTGGACTGGCTATCTTGGCAAAATTGTGGTCACCTGTACTTGACCAGAAGAGGGGAAGTCCTCTGGTTTGCACTAGGGAGCAGTCAGATTGAAGATCACAAAGATCCCTCCTGATCTTATGCCTGTTCTCACAGTACATGTTTATTTTTCTCTCATCGGTTTTCCAATGAAGCAGCTAGACTATCCCCTGCCAGCTGGTCCAGAATTTCTGAACACAGCACTTCAAAATACCACCGGGAGCCCTACATCCCACACCAGCACTGCTGAGTTGAACAGGTTCAAGCCTCAGTCCCATTTTTCCTGGGAATATTTTCTCTGTAGTTGCAAACAAGAAATGGGCTCTTGCAGAAATCACAGTAGTGTACAAAGAGCTTAATTTTCCTCTCTTCCTTTTCTTTACAACTTCTAAGAATAAGGCCAGCCCTCAGCACTACACAGCTGTCCACAGCATCAGTTCCTTCAGCCACACACCAACATCTTCACCCATTAAAAGCCTTGCTGTGGAGCTGAAACATTAACAATTGCTGTGCATCTCATACTAGTGATGCCTCCCACGTGGGAGCACAGGGGCAGACAGGAATCTAATAACTGTCCATGGGAGGGAAGGAAAAGAAATGGTCATATTTCAGAGATAGCAAAGAGCAGTTTATTAGCCAAACAATTTGTTATTAATCTCCATATGAAAATAGATGGAGAACCCTGGGGAGGCTGCTCTGCAAAAACACTTTGTAGAGTAATTTTTAGAAGCACAGTCTTCTGTTACTATGCAGGAAAGCTACGGCTGCTTATGCTTCCTGCGACAGTAATAGTCTTTGACACACAAAACAGGAGCCTAAAATCTTGGCCTTGCACCATTTAGGTCAAAGGAAGCTTCTTCCACTGGTTTTCAGGGTTTGATCCTGCTGCTAACAGAAGAGAAATTATCTGGTTTGAATGTAGATGGGAAGGAAGAGCCTTCCTGCAAGCTAATAAAATCCTTGATCTTAAATCCCTGCTACAGCACAAGTAACCTTTTTATGACTGCTCAGAGCAGACATGAGAGGAAAAAATGTAGACGGTAAGCAGCAAGGAGCATAAATTTTTATTTTTATAGTCACATAAAATGTACACCAAATAAGAAGAACTGGCACGGCATCTTCACTCACATCATGCAGGGGGTGTCTGCAGAAACAAAAAAACAACCTGTGCTTTAGAATCACTGTGATTTATGCAGGATGGGGAAGAGATGAAGGGAAATCTACCCCAGAGACACACCTTGAGAGAGCTTCCCAGCCACAGGTCTTCTTTTGCTTGCTGCTTTTACTCCATAAACTCTGCATCTCCAATCCATGTCCACTCAATCCCTGCCTCTGATTTTGTGCATATGGAGGTGTGTGGTTTTACCCAAAGGATCTTTTCCAACCCCTAATATTTTTAAAGGGGTTATCTACTGGCAAATTGTACACATGAAAAATAGGTGGTATTAGATGCATCCAGCTGTTCAGGACAGATCTTCCTGTCACCAACCAATCGTGTTATGACAAAATGCATTGGTCTAACAAAGAACATGCAGCCCCCAGGCCCTAGAAGAACATGTGAGAAGACATATATAAGAAAGCACATTTAATTCACACATCACATAGGAAAAAGGCAAATGGTAGGGCTCCCTCCACAGCTTTGGATCTGTTTTAAATACCTAAATGATACCACATTACCTATCACATATGCATCCTCACCTGCTAAAACAGAGGATGTCTGTTTCCTCTTTATTTCATGGTGAAATAGCTCAAACTAGATTGCACAGTTACTTGAAACTAGCCAATACTCAAGGCTTTGATGAATGATGTATTAGACGGTGAGACAAGAACAGCTCCTCCCTGTCAGTACCAGGGTCTGCGCAGCTTGTGGTGAGCTTGACAGGGGGATTTATGTCACTGAAAAAAAATAAAATGTTATTTTTAGCCATACAGATTCTTCACCAAGCAGGTTCTTCTATAGGAAGGAATGTCTAAGGAAAGAAGGAAAAACTGTTCCTCCTGGCAGTGGCTGATTTCAGACTGTATGAAGTGTCTGTGTAATAACAAAGGAAAACATGTACCTCTGCCACCTCAGCAAGGTAAAAGAAAGCTAACATCAAAGTTCAAAGTTCACATCCATCCTTCCCTCCCTGCTTAATCCATAGGCGTCCAAGCACTTTCATTTCTTGGAAAGAGAAACAAGAAAAATGACCATGCTCTGG